GTGGTGATAGTGGTGGGTGGTGGTGATAGTGGTGCGGTGGTGATAGTGATGATGGTGGTGATAGAGTGGTAGTGTGTTCATAATGGTGGTAGTATTCATAATGGTGGTGACAGTGGTGATGATAGTGATGGTGGTGGTGATAGTGGTGTTAGTGATAGTGGTGATGGTGGTGGTGATAGTGGTGTTAGTGATTAGTGATGATGGTGGGGTGTGATAGAAGTGGTAGTGTTCTTTAATGGTGGTAGTATTCATAATGGTGGTGACAGTGGTGATGATAGTGATGGTGGTGGTGATAGTGGTGTTAGTGATAGTGGTGATGGTGGTGATAGTGGTGGTGGTGGTGATAGTGGTGACGGTAATGATAGTGATGTTAGTGATAGTGATGATGGGGTGATAGTGGTGGTGGTAGTGTTCATATGGTGGTGATAGTAATGATAGTATTCATATGGTAGTGACAGTGGTGATGATAGTGATAGTGATGGTGGTGGTGATAGTGGTAAGGGTGATGATAGTGGTGTTAGTGACAGTGATGGTGGTGGTGATAGTGGTGTGTGTGATAGTGATAATGGTGGTGATAGTGGTGCAAGTGATAGTGATGGCGACAGTGGTGATAGTGATGGAGGTGGTGATAGTGGTGTTAGTGAGTGATGGTGATAGTGATGGTGGTAGTGATAGTGGTGATAGTGATAGTGATGGTGATGATAGTGATGGTGGTGATAATGATAGTGATGTTGGTGATGATAGTGGTGTTAGTAATAGTGATGATGGTGGTGATAGTGGTGGCAGTGTTGATAGTAGTGGTGGTGACAGTGGTGATGGTGGTGGTGGTGGTGGTGGTGGTGATAGTGGTGTTAGTGTTAGTGACGGTCTTGGTGATAGTGGTGTTAGTGATAGTGAAGGGGATGGTGATAGTTTTGATAGTGATGGTGTTGGTGATAGTGGTGTTAGTGATAGTGATGGTGATAGTGGTGGTGGTGGCAGAGGTGGTGATAGTGGTGATAATGGTGGTGATAATAGTGATAATGATGATAGTGGTGGTGATGGTGATAGTAGGGGTGATAGTGGTTATGTTGGTGATAGTGGTGGTGATAGTGGTGGTGGTGATAGTGGTGATGGTGATAGTGGTGGTGTTGGTGATAGTGGTGATAGTGGTGTTGGTGATAGTGGTGGTGTTGATGATAGTGGTGGTGGTGATAGTGGTGATAGTGGTGATGGTGATAGCGGTGGTGTTGGTGATAGTGGTGATAGTGGTGGTGGTGATAGTGGCTGTAGTGGTGGTTGACGGAAGAGAAGGGGTTGGAGATGAGATGGTAAGGGGGGTCCCCCACTTCCTGCCCTGTGATGAGGGGGGGAGGGAAGTTTACCCAAGCAATTTGCGTCAATGAGGGAACAAGTTGCATGTGGTCGCTGGTTAAATGCTATTGCTGGTGCATGGCTCGTTAAGCTTAACTTGGCGTAATTAAGTGACGCCCAGCCCAATAAAGCAGGAGTTATTATCTCGTCAACCTGGCAGAAACGAATAAAGCAATGGAAGAGAGGGAGAGCTTTATTAGTAGTAGGTTGTGTGTGTGTGTGTGTGTGTGTATGTGTGTGTGTGTGTGTGTATGTGTGTGTGTGTGTGTGTGTACACTCACCTATTTGTGGTTGCAAGGGTCGAGTCACAGCTCTTGTCCCTGCCTCTTCGATGCTCGCTGCTAGGCCCACCCTCTTCCTGCTCCAAGAGCTTTATCATACCTCTTCTTAAAGCTATGTATGGCACCTGCCTCAAACACACATGTGTGTTAACACTAAACACATCAATACCTCACTATTTAAAGAGCCACGTAATAACGTACAGCGCTGTAATAACGAAAAAAAACTGTAAGAACGAAAAAAACTGTAATAACGAATATTATCCTCCCTCCAATATTTTTTCTCTAATAAAAAAATTAAAAAAAAAAGTATTTTCCCCAATTAAAAAAATGAAACGAAGATAACATAAGTAAAATCTATTGTTATTTTTGTCTCACGTTGCAAATACTGTCGAATATCTTTTATTTTTGCATCGTAATGTTCACATCTATGAATTGTTGATGTTTTGAGTTATTCAGCTTTGATGATGGAGGTAGAGAAGCTCCAGTGTTGGGGGATAAAGCTCCAGTGTTGGTGATAAAGTTCCAGTGTTGGTGATAAAGTTCCAGTGTTGGTGATAAAGTTCCAGTGTTGGTGATAAAGTTCCAGTGTTGGTGATAAAGTTCCAGTGTTGGTGATAAAGTTCCAGTGTTGGTGATAAAGTTCCAGTGTTGGTGATAAAGTTCCAGTGTTGGTGATAAAGTTCCAGGTTGGTGATAAAGTTCCAGTGTTGGTGATAAAGTTCCAGTGTTGGTGATAAAGTTCCAGTGTTGGTGATAAAGTTCCAGTGTTGGTGATAAAGTTCCAGTGTTGGTGATAAAGTTCCAGTGTTGGTGATAAGTTCCAGTGTTGGTGATAAAGTTCCAGTGTTGGTGATAAAGTTCCAGTGTTGGTGATAAAGTTTTCAGTGTTGGTGATAAAGTTCCAGTGTTGGTGATAAAGTTCCAGTGTTGGTGATAAAGTTCCAGAGTTGGTGATAAAGTTCCAGTGTTGGTGATAAAGTTCCAGAGTTGGTGATAAAGTTCCAGAGTTGGTGATAAAGTTCCAGTGTTGGTGATAAAGTTCCAGTGTTGGTGATAAAGTTCCAGTGTTGGTGATAAAAGTCCCAGTGTTGGTGATAAAGTTCCAGTGTTGGTGATAAAAGTCCCAGTGTTGGTGATACATTTCCAGTAATGGTGATAAAGTTCCAGTGTTGGTGATACATTTCCAGTGTTGGTGATACATTTCTAGTGCTGATGATAAAGTCCCAGTGTTGGTGATATAGCTCCAGTGTTGGTGATAGTTCCAGTGTTGGTGATACAGTCCCAGTGTTAGTGATGTAGTCCAAGTGTTGGGGGATATAGCCCCAGTGTTGGTGATATAGTCCCAGTGTTGGTGATATAATCCCAGTGTTGGTGATATAGTCCCAGTGTTGGTGATATAATCCCAGTGTTGGTGATATAGCCCCAGTGTTGGTGATATAGTCCCAGTGTTGGTGATATAGTCCCAGTGTTGGTGATATAATCCCAGTGTTGGTGATATAGTCCCAGTGTTGGTGATATAGTACCAGTGTTGGAGATATAGTCCCAGTGTTGGTGATATAGTACCAGTGTTGGTGATATAGCCCCAGTGTTGGAGATATAGTCCCAGTGTTGGTGATATAGTACCAGTGTTGGTGAAGACTAATCTCTGAAATTAGTGTATATACACTGAGATATATATACACCACTCGATCTATATATATATATATATATATATATATATATATATATATATATATAATATATATATATATATATATATATATATATATATATTATATATATATATGCAAGGAATTCGCGAGAGCATGCGAAATATACACAAACACTGATCTCTGGCTGAAGGAGACTCGAACCTACGAACCTTAGGACAAGGTACGAAGGAGGTTCGAATCTCCTTTAGCCAGAGATCAGTGTTTGTGTATATTTCGCATGCTCTCGCGAATTCCTTGCATTGTTCAAATCTCTAGTAAGGCTGATGCATGCAGGGGATGAGATGAAAAGCTGTAAGCCTTCTCCCTGAAAGCTGGCTGCCTTGGATCAAACGTGTAGCGGATGCTACACGCCAAGGTATTGGTCCAGTGTGGGTAGATTGGTAAAGCACTGCGTACCTTGTCCTAAGGTTCTTAGGTTCGAGTCTCCTTCAGGCAGAGATCAGTGTTTATATATATATATATATATATATATATATATATATATATATATATATATATATATATAATATATATAATATATGAGAGTATAGTTTTACCAACGCTCTTATATGGGTGTGAAGCATGGGTGATGAATGTTGCAGCGAGGAGAAGGCTGGAGGCAGTGGAGATGTTATGTCTGAGAGCAATGTGTGGAGTGAATATAATGCAGAGAATTCGTAGTTTGGAAGTTAGGAGGAGGTGCGGGATTACCAACACTGTTGTCCAGAGGGCTGAGGAAGGGTTGTTGAGGTGGTTCGGACATGTGGAGAGAATGGAGCGAAACAGAATAACTTCAAGAGTGTATCAGTCTGTAGTGGAAGGAAGGCGGGGTAGGGGTCGGCCTAGGAAAGGTTGGAGGGAGGGGGTAAAGGAGGTTTTGTGTGCGAGGGGCTTGGACTTCCAGCAGGCATGCGTGAGCGTGTTTGATAGGAGTGAATGGAGACAAATGGTTTTTAATACTTGACGTGCTGTTGGAGTGTGAGCAAAGTAACATTTATGAAGGGGTTCAGGGAAACCGGCAGGCCGGACTTGAGTCCTGGTGATGGGAAGTACAGTGCCTGCACTCTGAAGGAGGGGTGTTAATGTTGCAGTTTAAAAACTGTAGTGTAAAGCACCCTTCTGGCAAGACAGTGATGGAGTGAATGATGGTGAAAGTTTTTCTTTTTCGGGCCACCCTGCCTTGGTGGGAATCGGCCAGTGTGATAATAATAAATAAATAAATATATATATATATATATATATATATATATATATATATATATATATATATATATATATATATATATATATATATATATATATATATATATATATATATATATATATATGCAATAAGATCACAGTAAACAGGTGATTTCAGAATATGCAAAACAACCACTCTGAAAGAATAGAGAAATTCCAAGCGCTTTCGTGACTACTCACATTATCAAGGAACTATGATAGTTCCTTGATAATGTGAGTAGTCACGAAAGCGCTTGGAATTTCTCTATTCATTCTGAGTGGTTGTTTTGCATATATATATATATATATATATATATATATATATATATATATATATATATATATATATATATATATATATATATATATATATTATATATATATATATATATATATATATATATATATTATATATATATATTATATATATATATATATATATATATATCCCTGTTTTATTACCTGACCTGACTTCCCGAAGACATGGAACTGGTTTTACTAGTGAATTGACTTCCTCCCCGGGTAAGCTGGCATCTACAATAAGCTGGCTTAGGTTAGGTTAGGAAGGATCTGTCAGGGAACAGGACAAGTGTTTCCTGACGCGGGTTTGTTTTCGTAAATCAGCTGACTCGACATCTCTTCCCTTTCTTACCTTCAGGTTAAATGTAATGGACAGAAGGAACGTCACAATACGATGGCTGGAACAAATCACAACACATTTACAATTTACAGAATAAGCTTCAGATGCCTTTTCGTTCCCTCCTAGACGATTATCAAGTCATGATTGATTCGAAGAAGGTCCGGGAGAGGCTGAAAAGTTTCCTTAAGTTACTTTTCTAAACAGCGAGTTTGGAATGACCCCGAGATGACCCTGTATGACCCAGTAGCTGTACCACCGTGTGACCTCTTCTCAATCACAAGCTTCAAGGTAAAGCCTTCACCAAGCTTCGAGGGCGGAGATTCCAACTATTCCGAGAATTGGTTTCCCAAATGACTAGCTTTAGCTAGCTTTACGATGCACCGTTTAAGACGCTTCAAAGAGATCCCGGATCAGCCGTGATCACCAAGGATTGCTCAGGTCAATGAGATTCGTTGACCGTCAGAATTCTATTAAGCTGAAATGGGCACGATTAATTAAAAATAGTCAGATGTGACGCGTGGCTGAGATGACATGAATGATTTCTTTGGTAGTCAGAGAAAAAACTATAATGATGGGAACACGGTTTAGGTTGAACTATAGCGGTTTAAATTCAGCTTTACGGGTTTGAGCAGCGTTAAACCCCGGTGGTTTAGCGTTTAGCTTTGATAATGATAATAAGAAGTAACCCATTATCGACAGAAAATAGACGCAAATGCAGCGTAATGCGATTCTTTATTGACTTCGTTTCGCCCACTTGTGACTTGATAAAATCCACTATGTAGGCGAAACGTTGTTAATAAATGGTAGCATTATACTGCACTTGTGCTTATTTTTCCATCGTGTAGGTATTTTATACCATTTATATCCATTAGAGAGAAAATTAAAGATATCTAGACAGGGTAAACGTTGACTTAAACCACGATGTTTCGTTCAGTGAGTTTTAACACGTTACCGTCAGCATGATAAACCTCTTACTGAGCGAAACATCTCTTTTTTAAATAAACGTGTTCCTCTGTCTACGGGTCTTTTATTAATTAAGACAGAGATAGATAGAGAGAAAGAGTTTAGAAAGTCAGTGCACAAACAAAATTATGTATAATATTCCATTGAGACGCGAAATAATCCAGTAAGACCAAGAGGAATGTGTTTTTTCTCGAAATTTCCAAATTTAAATTGCACAGAAAATAATGTAGGAATGGTTCCACCTCCAGTGCTCAAGAGGACCAACAATTACATCAATTATATTTATAATTACCTCCAGTTACTTGAAAGGACCCATAGAAGCAAATAACTTCCATTGATCTTAATAGACCCGGAGCACTTAGACTAAGATGGCCTCAAAGACGTTCAAGATTTGTAAACACAGTGGCTCTTCTTTCAAGTTTGTTTTCTTTGTTCAAGAATTGTTATTATGTAACACAGTGATTTCTAACTGTCTTCATTGTCACGAAAGTTTACAGTGAAGCCAAAGTTTAGTTCGAAGAGATTCACTGAGTACCAGTACGTCGCAAAGCGTCATGCTGGATGGACGCAGTGTTTCGGAGGCACTGAAAGAGAGTGAGAGAGAGAGAGAGGGGGGGAATCTCCCCTTGGATGCCACACACTGACGTCGTGAGTAAGAGATGGTGTTCCAGGAAGTGAGTGACTTCTGCTGGAATGTGCGCTGCAGTCATTGCGTGCTGAATGAAGTGATTGCTGCAGTTACTGGGGTCAGGAGTCGTAGGGTAATTGCTGAAGTCAGCGCGCGCTGAAGTCAGAGTTTAATTGTGCCGTGTTCGACTGGGGTCAGAGTGCGCTGGGATGTGTTCATCTATGGCAGGAAATTAATTAAGAGGAGAAGCAAGACTCCTGGTATGACCCTCATGGTCCATGTTGAGCTCACCTCAGCTGAACCTGGGAAGAGAGAAAAAATGTTAGTCAGAGGATGATACTCACCTAATTGTGGTTGCAGGGGTCGAGTCATAGCTCCTGGCCCCGCCTCTTCACTGGTCGCTACTAGGTTCAGTCCCTGCTCCATGAGCTTAATCATACCTCTTCTTAAAGCTATGTATGGATCCTGCCTCCACTACATAACTCTCCAGATTATTCCAATTCAAGACAACTCTATGGATGAAGAAATACTTCCTAACATCCCTGTTTATGTATGTGTGATAATTTTGCTATCCTTGGCATACCCATCTCGTGGTTGGTAGTCATTCTATACCCATCAAGTGGGTGTTTGTTATAAGCTTAGAGAGGCGCCCGCAGCTAACAACGTAATTGTTTTATCACGCAAATCTGTTGACGAGCCTCGGTGTTCCATCCATAACAAGATGTTGTGATTAAATGGTAACTGACTGGAAGTGTGGGAATTGCCAATCAACTCGTTAGTGAAAGGAACTGTGGTCACCCTTACCATGAATGCTAAACACACACACACACACACACACACACACACACACACACACACACACACACACACACACACACACACACACACACACACACAAATACAAACACACAGACACACACACACACACAAACACAAACACAGACACAGAATCAACAATATTTGTGAAGAAAATGTTTGCGAGCTGTTGAAATAAGACAGGAAAAATAGTCTTGTATTTTCCAGGGTGGGAATACAGACAGGAGGAGATAATACTGATATTCATACACCGTTATAAAATATTTTATGAAGGAGTGGAAAATATTACCGACTTAATGAAAACTTCAGTAGAGTATTACAAGAAAATGAAGAAATTCGGGGAATATAGCCGAGTAAACCAGATTTATTTCGGTATCCCCGTATTAAATAACCTCAGCCTCTGCGCCTTAATGCATGCAGAAGGAATAGTGCAGAGTGCGGCAGACATTTCTAATGTAATTATTAAACAGTGAAGATTTGAAGTTAACCTGAAAAGGAATTTACAAGATATTACATTTAAACTTTAATACTGTTTTCAAAACAAAAATAGCAAAAATTAGTATAAACACAGTACCATAATTAAGAAGCATTAGCTTAGAAGGCAAACTGCAGAGCCATTCTCTGGTTATCTCAGAGAGAGACCAACATCCACAAACACACCAGCACTTAAGTCTGAATCCGCTCTGTAGTTGTGTTATCTAGGTGCCAACGCTGAAGGTTCAAAGCCAATCGGAAGAGGCATCAAGAAATATTCGCTTGAAAACGATATCACGAAATTTCGATAAAAATTTCTCCAAACTGTTCTCTCAGTAAGACTGAGTAAGTAAATGTTATTCAGGTTTTGGGTCCATAACATTCCAGATTTTTACAATAGAATTGAAGATAAACAGAGGTTGTGGTCACCTGAAAATTCCATTAGGTATGTTTAATTCAGAGTAAATTATTATTATTAAAGATTCGCCGGTATTCTCCCGGCCCGGGCCTTTTCCAAGTGGTGGCCCGGCCTTGGCTCCCTCTTTAGGGAGTGTCTGAGACCTAAGTCTCCCATGGGAGGAGGCACAAGTACCTCCTCATCTTTGGGACCAACTGTCCCCAGGCCTAGCCACAAGCTAGGCCTCTCTGGTCTGACATCCCCGCCCCAAGGGGGCTAATGGGAATGACAGTCTTATGAGCTAAAGGCTCGGGCTCAGGCACCTACCCTACCCTAGAAGGGTTAGGCATGGTGTCGATCGCTTCATTCAGAGTAAAGTCAAACATTGTGACTTACTGCTGATCAGAGATATTTTCTTGCTGGGTGTGTCCCCAGTACTTCCTAATTAAGCTCTATTGATTCCCACTACTGCTGCATGGATTTCCCAGTACTCCTTCATCAAGTACTGCTGCATCAATCCTCAGTACTCTTTAACCCAGAATTGCTGCATAGATTTCCAGTACTCCTTAATTAACTTCTGCTGCACCCATTATGGTGCACCCATTATGGTGGCCTGGTGGTTAACGCTCTCGCTTCACACGGTGAGGGCCTGGGTTCGATTCCCAGCCAGAGTAGAAACATTGGACGTGTTTCTTTCCACCTGTTGTCTATGTTCCCCATCAGTAAAATGGGTACCTGGGTGTTAGTCGACTGGTGTGGGTCGCATCCTGGGACACTGACCTAAGGAGGCCTGGTCACAGACCGGGCCGCGGGGGCGTTGACCCCAGGAACTCTCTCCAGATAAACTCCAGAAACTCTATTCTTGGTCAGAAAAGTGGCAGATGCAGTTCAATGTAGATAAATGCAAGGTTCTGAAGCTTGTGAGTGCCCATAACCCTAGTACTTATAAGTTAAATGATGTAGAACTTAGCCATACAGATTGCGAAAAGGACTTGGGGGTTATGGTGAGCAGCAACCTTAAACCAAGACAGCAATGCCTAAGCGTACGTAATAAGGCAAATAGATTACTGGGATTTATGTCAAGAAGTGTAAGCAACAGAAGTCCAGAGGTCATACTGCAGCTTTATACATCATTAGTAAGGCCTCACCTAGATTATGCAGCTCAGTTCTGGTCTCCGTATTACAAAATGGACATAAATTCGTTAGAAAACATTCAGCGTAGGATGACTAAATTAATACATAGCATCAGAAATCTTCCTTATGAAGAAAGATTGAAGACTCTTAAGTTACATTCACTTGTTAGACGAAGAATGAGGGGAGACCTGATCGAAGTGTATAAGTGGAAGATAGGTATTAATAAAGGGGATATTAATAAGGTCTTGAGGATGTCTCTCCAAGAGAGAACCCGCAGTAATGGATTTAAATTAGATAAGTTTAGATTTAGAAAGGACTTAGGAAAGTATTGGTTTGGAAATAGGGTAGTTGATGAGTGGAACAGTCTACCTAGTTGGGTTATTGAGGCTGGGACTTTGGGTAGTTTCAAATTTAGGTTGGATAAGTACATGAGTGGGAGGGGTTGGATTTGAGTGGGACTTTTACATCAGAGCTTATTTCTTGATTGGCATTGAAAATTGGGTTGGGCAAATGTTTTGTTAGTGGGATGAATTGTAAAGGACCTGCCTAGTATGGGCCAGCAGGCCTGCTGCAGTGTTCCTCCTTTCTTATGTTCTTATGTTCTTATGTTCATTCCCAATACACCTTAAACAAGTGCTGCTGCATCTACCCAGTACTCCTTAAACTAGTGCTGCTGCATCCACCCAGTACTCCTTAAGCAAGTACTGCTGCATCCACCCAGTACTCCTTAAACAAGTGCTGCTGCATCCACCCAGTACTCCTTAAACTAGTGCTGCTGCATCCACCCAGTACTCCTTAAACAAGTGCTGCTGCATCCACCCAGTACTCCTTAAACTAGTGCTGCTGCATCCACCCAGTACTCCTTAAACTAGTGCTGCTGCATCCTCCCAGTACTCCTTAAACAAATGCTGCTGCCTCCACCCAGTACTCCTTAAGCAAGTACTGCTGCATCCACCCAGTACTCCTTAAACAAGTGCTGCTGCCTCCACCCAGTACTCCTTAAGCAAGTACTGCTGCATCCACCCAGTACTCCTTAAACACGTACTGCTGCATCCACCCAGTACTCCTTAAACAAGTACTGCTGCATCCACCCAGTACTCCTTAAACACGTACTGCTACATCCACCCAGTACTCCTTAAACACGTACTGCTGCATCCACCCAGTACTCCTTAAACACGTACTGCTGCATCCACCCAGTACTCCTTAAACACGTACTGCTGCCTCCATCCAGTACTCCTTAAACACGTACTGCTGCATCCACCCCAGTACACCTTAAGCAAGTACTGCTGCATCCACCCAGTACTCCTTAAACTAGTGCTGCTGCATCCACCCAGTACTCCTTAAACTAGTGGTGCTGCAACCACCCAGTACTCCTTAAAAAAGTACTGCTGCATCCACCCCAGTACTCCTTAAACAAGTGCTGCTGCCTCCACCCCAGTACTCCTTAAACACGTACTGCTGCATCCACCCCAGTACTCCTTAAACAAGTACTGCTGCATCCACCCCAGTACTCCTTAAACTAGTGCTGCTGCAACCACCCAGTACTCCTTAAACAAGTGCAGCTGCATCCACCCAGTACTCCTTAAACTAGTGCTGCTGCATCCACCCAGTACTCCTTAAACTAGTGCTGCTGCATCCACCCAGTACTCCTTAAACTAGTGCTGCTGCATCCACCCAGTACTCCTTAAACTAGTGCTACTGTAACCACCCAGTACTCCTTAAACAAGTGCTGCTGCATCCACCCAGTACTCCTTAAACTAGTGCTGCTGCAACCACCCAGTACTCCTTAAACAAGTGCTGCTGCCTCCACCCCAGTACTCCTTAAACAAGTACTGCTGCCTCCACCCCAGTACTCCTTAAACAAGCACTGCTGCCTCCACCCCAGTACTCCTTAAACAAGTACTGCTGCATCCACCCCAGTACTCCTTAAACAAGTGCTGCTGGCTCCACCCCAGTACTCCTTAAACAAGTACTGCTGCATCCACCCCAGTACTCCTTAAACAAGTACTGCTGCATCCACCCCAGTACTCCTTAAACAAGTACTGCTGCATCTACCCCAGTACTCCTTAAACAAGTACTGCTGCATCCACCCCAGTACTCCTTAAACAAGTACTGCTGCATCCACCCCAGTACTCCTTAAACAAGTACTGCTGCATCCACCCCAGTACTCCTTAAACAAGTACTGCTGCATCTACCCCAGTACTCCTTAAACAAGTACTGCTGCATCCACCCCAGTACTCCTTAAACTAGTGCTGCTGCATCCACCCAGTACTCCTTAAACAAGTACTGCTGCATCCACCCCAGTACTCCTTAAACAAGTACTGCTGCTTCCACCCAGTACTCCCTTCACATATATTTCACATATTCACACTGAATAATACATTACAAAAACGTCCTCACGTCCCGATTAAAAAAAATATTAATAATTTTAACCAATTTTCAGTATATTCCCAAATATATTTCATACACGAAGGTCAATTT